TTGCCATATTAATTCAATGGTTTCTTTATATTTGTCCCTGAGAAATTAATATGTGGAAGAAAGGTTGAAAATAAACCTAAAATATGCAATCCCCTTGCAAACTGGAAAAGGACAGCCACAAATAAATTCTCACAAGAATCATAGCAAAAATCAGTAACAATATAAAAGTACATCATAACACCTCATAACATAATATTTTCAAGAGAATCAAGATAAAGATGTACATGCATGCATGCATCATACAAGCAAAAATTGCACTTTAAACACTTTTTAAAATATTTTTATAAGATAGACTATTAGCAATCTTGAGTCTCCATAAAGTAGGTGTGTGTGTGTGTGTGTGTGTGTGTGTGTATGTGTGTGTGTTTAACTCAGCTATTATGTCTGCAGTGTGGTAGTTTATAGTGTTGTCTAGTACTGGGTGCATTATTCTGCAGACATGGTATCATGCCCCACCCAATCACACTTTCCTAACACCAGGACAACCAATCATAACACTAACCTATTAATGCTGAGCACAAAGTGAAGCAGCTGTGAGTACCATTTTTATAAGTATTTGGTATGACTCAGCCAGGTTTGAACCCATGACCTTCCACATCCAAGGTAGATGCTCTAACCACTTAAGTCAATCCTCTGACATTTATTTTTGTGTTTTAATGTAATCATATAATAGGCTTTACATGGTGGCCAGTATATCAGTGGTGGAAAAAGTATTTAAGATCTGTCAAGTTTTCTCATTTCTCACATACCCACATTGGTTAAACTTCGATCTGAACTCATGCCTTTGACCACTTGGCCACATCGGTCACCCCACTCCATTCCCACCCTGGGTCACTTTTAATAAATCTTAACACTGTCAACAAATATGCATGCATAAAAACACCCACATATTACATGGGACAATAATAAAACTAAAAAGACCTTAAGGGCAAAGGTCATAGACAAATTCTAAATTTCTGTTTCTACTATTAACAAAGTTTTGATACAGGCATTTGTGCTCACTATTGAAGCAAATGAAAAAAGGTTTGAGATATAAATAAAAGCATAAAAAGGCAAGGAATCTTAAGTACAGGATTTTTTGGCCCAAAGCAAGGAAAATTAAGGAGACTAGAAATCCATAAATTGGAATATATTTTTAAATCATAATACAAGTATATGGAAAAGTAAAGCTGAAACCAATCAAATTTTTTTCAAATTCTTTTTTTTTAAAATTAAATACACCCCAAATATCAATAAGCTTTGGATTCAGTGTTAGAAAACTCAGACATAAAAGCCTTTGCAAGTTGTGTAAAATAGAGAAATAAAATAGAGATATGCTGGAATGGGGGTACAAGGTGTCCATAATAAACAATATAAATGAAATCATATGCTCCTAAATTGTAATCTCTAAAACTCTAAAATAAATGAATTTTGTCTTCATAGTAATTTATTAAGCATTGTGTCATTTAGGCATATATATATATATATATATATATATATATATATATATATATATATATATATATATATATATATATATATATATATATATATATATATACACACACACAGACATCTGCTATTCAACAACTCTAAATATCATGATGAAACACACAAAAAAATTCTGAGATCCAGTTTATACTGGTAGCCTCTTTCACCCATACAACACATTGGTTGCCTTAATACAATCTGTCAATTCACAAGTCAGACATACATGCATTAACACACACCATTAATCCATGGCTAATGACCAAATGCCATGAAGCCTGGTTCAGAATCTTGGAGATCTGCCTATGGATAATTTCAAATGATTCCATAAATTCACCAATTTATTAACTAGTGTAACATGTTTCCCAGCTGTTCATTTGCCATGAGCAGCTTTGATTATCCTTGGAAAGAGCTTGGAAAATGGAAATGCACAGTAAAAGCTGGAAACACTGAATAGCATTGGACTCTGGATAGCATTGGACTCTGGATAGCATTGGACTCTGGATAGCATTGGACTCTGTTCATTAAACATAGGTTTGTAGCATGAAAAGTATGAACTTAAATATTTGTATCAAGATTTTCATTTCAATTTTTGTCTAAGCCTGGAAAAAGACAAGAAAAAACCTGGAAACACAATATACAAACAAATGCCTGGGACAATACATAAAGCATGTGCTAAAGTCACATGACATCTCTTATCCAATCAATTTAACCACAGCAGCCTAGGGAAAGATAGACATTTGCTTTCCCATCTGTTATTTCAGTAGTGATTAAGAAAGCTATCAGAGAATATCATCCAATAATTTGAAAGAAAAAAGGAAAAGAAGATAAATAAGAACTTCTGGTAAACAGTTACGGTTAGGTCCTGAATTCTAACCTCATATTAACATATTCCTGAAACTCCCAAACTTGAGTGCTCACACTGAAATTCAAAATTACCTATCAAACATGCAAAAAAGATATATGTATCTAAATTTGTTGGCAGTTTTTTCATTTCAATTTGATATAGTTTATGACTATAAGCATTACAATTTTGATCTTGAGTGTGCACTCAAGTTGACAAGTTTTGTGAAAGTGGGGCCTGGTGAGTTTAGTTCAATTTTACCTGACTTATATGAAAATGTGAAGCAATGACCAACATTTGATCCAAAACAATACTAGCCTGGGACACTCATTAATCCATTCCCCATATTTTGAAAATTCTCAGCATTTTATTGGCTACTCACCCAAGTAAGTCATTCCATAAATCCCAATGCAGATGATAATTGGGTAATATAAAAAATAATGTGGTAATCACATTTCAAAATTCTTGATGGGTCAAAGCTGTAGATGGTACAAGAAATCAAAAGCTTATCCATATTCAAATTCACAAATTAAATATTTTTTTAAGTCAGATATAACTAGCCATGGTCAAGAATATGTAAATAGTTGTAAAATATTATAGGAGCTCACCATGTTTAGATGAAAAGCTGTTGACTGATAGATTTTAAATTTCAATGCTGATTTCTATTTAAATGGGAGTGTTTAACATTTGATACAATGACACAATAAGAAGGATTATATCGTTTTCATGAAGATTAGATGTTTGCCCAGACCAATTAATTCAGCTACTGCAAGACTTCAAAAATCAATAATTTCTATGTTCTATGTGTCTGACAATCAAACCACAATTTAAAGTTGCACAGTATATTTTTTTTGTGATGAAATAATGAGCATAGAACTTTTGCTTTTAATCACACCCATTAGTGTACTTCATTGATGCACTCAAAAGACAGTAAACCTAACATTTTTTTATCTGATAAATATTTAAAACTCATCATCATCACTTCTCTTTAACTCGACTGCCATAAGTACTCTCTATTACATCTGCACATGGCAGATTTACATTCAAATAAATTCCATCCAAAGGCAATGTTAATATTTTTGTTGTTTGTGCCAATTAGATTTTTGTTAGTGTTTTAGAATTGTGGATGAGACTCTTGAAACACTGTTTGACAGCATTAGTGAAAAGAGGACTCGGAATTAAAAAGGTTGGAAATTCCCTTTCACCTTGCTAAAACACCATGCAACTTGGGATATTTCCTTTTAACTGGTGTGTAATTACACCTTAACACTACTGCCTCAGTTGCCACAGGAAGAGTGATATGTGTCATCATTTAAGATCATGTGACTTTATTGAAGAAGAATAGAACATCATGTAATAGTGACTAAAACTGCAACTGACCTGTCTGTGATAAAATTGCTTCCACTGACTCTCATCAAGGTTCCATGATCACCTTAAAAAGAAACAATACAGGTATATAAACTTGTAAGAATATACATTGAAAATGCTTAGCATCTAAAACCTCCCTGGGATAAATCTGCCACTTATATTAGCGAAAAAGATCACAAAAGTCATAAATGAGAAAACTTACAAAACAAATGACCATTTACACAGCAAAATAAGTTTAATCATTCATCTAAGATGTGTATAAACATGCAATCCAAAAATTATTTTCCTTGGTCACATGGCAGAGTGATTTTAGGTCAGTTGGTAGAGCATCAGTCTTGTAATAAAAGGATCACATGTTCAATACCCACCCACCCAGCCTAGGATGTCTGTCTGGGTGTGTCTTTTGAAAAGGTTGTTGTTGTTGCTGTTGTTGTAGGGTTTAACACCATTTTTCAGCACAAGATTGGCTATACATGGCAGTCAGTACCAATTGTGAAGGAAGAACCTGGGAAAACCCCAGAAGAACCACCAACCCACAAGATGTTCAAAATGCCATTAAAACATGAAAAAGTGGTAAAGTGGTTTCTGCTTACAAGGTTACACTAAAAAAATAAGTCTAAAGTTAGAATAACTTTTAACAAATCAAACTAGAATGTTATGTTTGCAAAATAAGTATCACAGCACTTGCCATTTTGACCTCCATCGTAAAGTTTGGGTGCCTGTGCCTGGTGCAAATTTGTAATTTGATGTCAGTAACATTATCACAAACCATGATGAGTGACAATGTGATATGTACCATTATAATCCTGTGCCAAGTTTTCCTCATTTCATATGACTGCATAAACCTGCTTAATAAATTACTATGAAGACAAGCAAATCAAAATTTCTCTTCCAAACAGAGTCAATACTGAATCAATAAAATGAGCACTTTCAATGATGTGTTGCGGATTCTTACATGTTGATATATACTTTTGTTTATTTCATACTCATAAAAAAAGAAGAAATTTCAAAACAGGTAGCCAAGGATGAAAACGTAGTGTATTGGAGTATCATCCATGGTTAAACCAATTGGCCAGTGTGTGTGAGTGTGGTTTGGATTTTTAACATGGCTTTAACAATTATTCAGTCATATCGCTATGATGTCTGCGGTATGGCAGTTTATAGTGATGTCTAGCATAGTAGCATCATATTGCAGACGTATAGCATGATGTCCCACCCATCACATTATTCTGACACCAGGCTGGCCAGTCCTAATACTAACCTCTTAATGCTGAGTGCCAAGTAAGGCAGCGGTTAGTACCATTTTTATAAGTCTTTGGTATGATTCAGCCAGGGATCGAACCCAAGACATCCTGCATCCGAGGAAGACACTCTAACCACTAGGCCACCAAAGTAGTTTGATTGGCCAGAACAGTATTATATACTTATAGGGTTGGGTTTTCAATAGTTATCATACTTTTGGAAAGTGCCAGGACAAACTGAGTAATGAAATATTATAACATATGAACATGAGGTAAGTTCTTTATACATAAAAAGCAATTTTAATAGGTATTAATAGGTTATAAAAGGTATATACATGTGATTGTTTATAATATTGTTGCTATGTACTCTGTGTCATGAACTTTACTGTCATGAAATTTACACTATCAGAACTCTTTAAACAGAGGTATTACATCAAAATGACAGTGAATCCAATTTGTGCTTGCTTAAAAGTTGACTCCAACTGCAAATTACTAAAAACTTAGAACTGTCATAACACAATGAGCATGCATATCAGAGTCTATGTTATTTGTTCTTCTGACTTGTCCTATCAAACTGTAAAGACTCAGAACTACTGGTGCATTATTTGACAGCAAATCTGGGTCTGTGCAGTTTGCAGTTGGATTTGGCTTATAAGCGAGTACATACAGTATATTTATGAACATTTTTACCTTTGAGACAAAGAATATAGTATATACAAATCCCTTACCTCATACAATGAACTTCAGCTCACCAAGAACAACATATAAAGATCATCTCCTCTACCCATAACCACTTTTTACCTCTAAATATATATAAAGGTCACATGTCCTTGTTCTTAAAATATCTCTTAAAGAATCTGCTCACTGTATATGTTTCTTTCTACAAAATTATAGAGCTATACCCATTCATCTCTTATACAGTAAAACTGTCTTGAAAGACCACTTCTTTTGCCAAAATATTATGGTCTCTCAAGTCATATGGTCTCTCATAACAGGTAACAATGGTAGATAATTAATAAATCTGTGCACTGACAGTGTGGTCTCTCAAGACATATCAGTGGTCTTTCAAGACAGGTTTTACTGTAACATCTTTACTGATTTCTAGATAAGTATATAGACAGTTGATGAGAATTGAGAATGCATAAAAAATACTTTTTGAAAAATGCTATCTATAAAAACAATTTCATGCTAATTTAGCCTGCAGTAATGTTGACAACACCCAAATGATGTAACCTAACAGCAAAATGATGAAGCCCTTCATTGGCCCTTAGGTAACACATGGTTTAAAGCATGCACCATTACAGAAACTTGACATCTTCTGTGGGTTCAAGTCTAGCATTTAACCAACATGGGCATATGAGAAAGATTGTAGTGGTTACCCAAAGGTTGTTGGGTCTTCCTCCCCAGATATACTGGCCACCATGTATAGCCTGTCATGTGCTGAAAAATTATGTTAAATCCACAACACCAACAACAAAGCCCTTCTATTATGGCACTGACATTGTTAGTCAGTCTTCTATTCTAAAATGGACATAGCTAACCAACCTGGATGGCACAGCTAACCGCAATTTAGCTATAATAAAAGAAGAGAAAGGATAATTCTGTATAAAATGGCCATTATTAGTTTGGTATAATTACAATAACAAACCTTTCCATTCAAGTTTAATCATAAAAAACCTTGCACTTCTTCATTACATCAATCAATGATGTAAAGTCTGACTACATAGGAACTCAAGAACTCAATTACTCTTATAGCACTCATCATTTCTTTCAATTTGCCAATTTAATAATTGTGGTATTATAATCAAAATTACACAAATAAAAAATGTATAATCTCCACAATTCAAAGCTATCCCCACTGCATGCAACACTACAAGCACAGAATATGGAAAAAAATTTCTGGAATTAAAAATATCCCATAAAGGGTAACACAGACATCAAAACATTTCTAATATGGTCTTTTTTCAATGACTCATTCTTATCAACTTAAACTTTTGAAAAATACTGTTCAGTTAATAATAATAATAATAATAATAATAATAATAATAATAATAATAATAATAATAATAATAATAATAATAATAATAATAATAATAATAATAATAATAATAATAATAATAATAATAATAATAATAATAATTATCATTATTATTATTATGAGCATTATTTATTTATTTAAAGAATGCAACTCAATCATTAAAACCCTATTCTCCCAAGGATTTCTCTCCAATGTACTCATTTTCTAACACTCATTATTTAACACCTGCTGAAATAGTATACCTATATCTTATTGAACATGTAGTAAACATAGTTTTAAAATCACTGAGAGAATTTAATTGCTTTTTTGCATACAAACAAACAAAAAACCCAAGTTGTTCCAACCAAGAACTTCTAAAATGATAAGGTTTTTGTAAACCCCTTACATTTTCAGGCAAGCTTTTAGTGCTGTATATACTTCAACATCTCTAGCTGATATTGTTTTGCAGTTCCATTTAGAGTAGCAGTTTCCAACCTCAGACTGTGAACTAAATTAGTGTCATGGCTGGGGGGGAAGGTCAGTAGGGTTGCAAAGGGTCATCAGAAGAAACTGGTAGAGCCTTTTGCTTATTAACTTAGGGTTGAATCAAGAAGAAAGGTTGGGAACCACTGATTCAAAACTAAATATACTAAAAAGCTTAATTTTAATAAATTCTTTGGTACATATACTTCCAACATAGTTTTTCATCAGACCATTCCAGTGAAACAGACAATCTGCCTTGAATGCAGGTGGTCACAGGTTCAAACCCAAGCAGAGTCATACCAAAGACTTATAAAAATGGTGCTAGCAGCTGGCTCGCACGCTGCTCAGCATTAAGAGGTTAGTGTTAGGACTGTGAAAGCATGTGTCAGGATAATGGGACTGAGTGGGACATGATGCTATGTGTCTGTGGTATCATTCCCCAGTGCTAGACATTATCATAAACTGCCACACTGCAGACATCTTAGTGATAATTGTTAAAGCGATGTTAAAAATCCAATCACTCACACTTTCTTTTCTCACCAAGGAATCTAAATAAAAGTAAAAGGTTTATCAAGAAGTATGTATGTTTATTTCAAGATTAAAATTCTGTCAAGGTTTTGTCTGGAACAGTTTCCCCATATGTTAGGACTATAATCCAGCTCTGGTTGAATATATGCATTAAAATAGTAGGATTCTGACATCACAAAAGAAAGTATTTTCTTAATTCTGGAAAGCAGTGCTATCTCAGATGAAATCAATTTAGGTACTGTATTAACCTGTAAAAAACAAAGGAAGATTATGGTTAGAAACATTTTCAATTGTTGTATTCTTCAGATTTGAATTAAGTGTTCTTGGTCCCTATGATCCAATTTGAGGGCTTTGTTGGTCCTTGATTGTAGATTTTATGGCACACCAGCACAATAGTGCCACAATAAACATTATATAATAAAGATTAAATAGGTTTATAGCTAATGAGCAATAAAAATTAGAAAAACATATTGATGAGATGGTGGTATACAATATGAAGGTTCCCAGCCAACAGAAAATGTAAATGGTGTGTATAAAGGGTCATTATATAATATAAAAAGATAAAATAGGGTAATTAACAGTAATTGTTTTGTTTAAAAAAACTCAAACAAAACAGGTTGCACATAAGCTATATTTTAGAATAAATGTTAACTTTTTTCAAGAAAGTTAAAATACAAGACACATATACTCTAACAAAAAGTTCCTTTATGTGCAGAACATTAGAGTAAGAATGGTGACTTACAAGGGTGCAGATTAAAACAATTATCAGAGAGTGCTTCATGGTGAATGTTCATTGCAAAAAATGCACTCAGGAGGGTCGTCACTCTTTAATATATATAGAGTGGGTTATATAAGTATGAATGGGAATTCCTAGAACCAGAATGCTCATTGCAGAAATGATTATTATCAAATATTAAAGGTTAGCAACATGTTTTTCAAAGACTTCAGACAGTGTAGTTACGACTGAAATTGGCCTGTAGTTACTGGAATCATCCTTTACTCCATACTAATGAATGGGATACATTTTAGCAGGTAACCACAATCACTCAGTTGGTTAAGTATCAGACTCACAGTTTAATGGTCACAGGTCTGATACCTGCCTAGTTCCAGCAGCTTTGGTGTGTAATTGGGAAAAATGTCAGCTCTCATTTCCTTGACATGTTAATAGCCAATAATGTGTTACAAGTGCTGTAAAAAGTCCTATTAAAACCAACATATACAAAAAAAATCTAATTTAACACATTTAAAAAATCTGGATATGTCTTTGTCTTACCACATAAGTTAATTACATGTTACAGACTTGGCAATTACTTGTACTGAATGTTTCAACAACTTTACCTTCTACTAATGCAGCTCTATTGACATTTAGACTAATTCATATTAAACATGTACTTCTATTTCTGAATAGACTGAAAGGATGAAAAAGGTATACCAGATATCTTGACATACAAAAACTCCTTAAATTTCTATTCTTATCGTAAAACTGGGACCCTGAGTGGCAGAGTCTAAGGTACTCCTGTTTACAAATTACTAACACATCACAACTTTGTTCATATGAGTTCATGTCTCAGCTAAACCAATTTGGGAAAATGATAAAGCTTGCCAGCTGCTTCTTCTAGATTGGTGATTCTTCCCAGCATCTTCTCAGGTTTTTCATATGCAAAAATTACTGGCAACCTTGTTTGCAATGTATAGCCTACCATGTGCTGAAAAATGGCATTAAATCCCACAAAACCAAACCACCCTTACAAAATCACCTAAAATTTAGCCAAAGTATTTGTTAAAATAATCTGCAATTTCTCTCACTGATTCTACAGTAATAACTTCATACTGTAATTAGTTGATGTGAAGGTGTTAATATTTCCTTAAGGCACTAGGATGCTTCCATATTTGATCACTAAACTGGTTTTCTTCTATTGCTTGCATGTAAATAGATTCTTCTTTAACAAGTTGTCCCATTAGTGCTTGAGAGCAAAGAAATAATAGTGCCATTTTTCAATCATAGTATGTGTCCTCTTCAATTATACTGGCAGGTTCATTTCAAAACTGCCTTTGTTGGTAATTCTGGTGTGATGTCAAGTGACACATAAAGAGTAATGACTGCAAAATTTTGGTACTTTTATTT